TTTTTTTCTGATTATGGATTCAATCTTGAACTACACATTTTGAAAGTAAATTATCATTGCTGAGATCGTTTTAAATCAGTTAAAAGCTTTTAAACTTTTTTTTCACATCAGGAGGTGAGGGAGAATAATCTTGAGTATAAGTATCGAGCTCTCCACTTGCGTCAACGCGCTGGTAAGAGTCCAATAACTCAAAAAGTGATCATCGGATCAACTTGAAATTTTCAGAGAACATTTTCAAGATATTACACTTAATGAAAATGCAAAAAAATAAAAATCAATTTTTCAAAAATTCCAAGTACCCCTAGCCCCTTAAAAGATCTAATAATATTCTACAATATTACGGATAACAATCAAGTACAACTTTTATCTTTGCATACCACTCGAATTTAAATGCAACAACATGCTAAAATTACTTCCATTAATATTTGGGTGACATTATGATTTTGCGCCTAAAACAAGAAAGGGTTGCTCTCGCCGTGGCCGTGTGCGTCACAAGTGAGGCTTGGAGCGTGATCCTGTACCTGTGTGCCCCCAGTGCCCCTTTCACTTGTATTTTGAAATGAAAAAATTTATACTCGCTTAAATAATACGTGTTAAATAGAGTGTCCGGTGCTTGGTGCCGCCCGGCGTTACGGGACTTTCCCTTATTTATTTCATTCAATGCTATATTGCACGTATAATACACGAATTTTAAATCAGATTTTAGCAAAACAGCAAAAAATATATTTTACAATGATTAATCAGCGGAGAATTTTACTGAACGTAAATAGGTAGTTGTTTGTTTAATGTGTTTGTATTGAACAGTATAATAACTAAAATTCAACATGAACCTCTGTTCCCTGACCTGCCCTATATATGGGTTCAACTTTTATAAAACGCACACCAACCAAACCTTGACATTTTAGAATTATCTGATTTTTTTACAGATATTAAACATAAAATCACTTGATTTTGATCATTTGATTGTATTTCAGGATTTTGCTAAAAAATGTTCATGTAAATATTTACGATTGAAATATGAATTTTTTCGTCAATTTTTATGAACATCCTTTGCGGTAAATTAATTATCTCCAGTTGCGCTGATCGAATCAGTATTATTAGTTTTTCATTACACTTATATTAAAGTAAACTTTATAATAATTTTAAAAAAATTGTTTTTGCAATTTTCCTAACAGTAACAATACTTGAATCGTTTGTAATAGAACGACTCATATAGTTAAGATTATAATAAACCTTAATTTAAAATTATTGATACTAATGTGTGTTTGAATAATTTTGAATATTTTACTCATACAAGAAATACGAATTAATAAAAAGTTCAATTGATTAATTACTAGTAGAACCAGTAAATTTCTTCAGTTGGTTAAATGTGATCGGATCATAAAGGTTTTATACATGGAGTTCATTGTAGGTATTATCTGAATACAATAAGAAATCAATATTTCTATCATTTTTTGAGGCAATAATATTTATAAAAATATTTGATAAAAGTCCACGTGTAAATGGAGCACTAGTCTATTAATCAATTCAATATTTTTTGTAAAAACTTTATTACCACGGTATATGTGTATAAATTAAAATTAGTATGACTAGCAATGTTGATCATGTCGTTGGTACTATGGTCCCACAGACCAATCCGAATTTTATATTTAGTAGTGTTTTTTCTATTTGTTAATAGTGCACAAGGAAACTATTTGGAGAAGCAATTTCAAGTTGAACATTATGGAGCAATGTTCAGTCAAATTCTAAAAGTATTGGGCGCCGTAACGGATGCAGAAGATTACACCGACACAATATTCTTGATTGATGTAGATGGAATTATTAACCAACTGAATATAGTATTTGATAAAAATGCTTTTATAATATATGATATTGGTAATAAAGAAAAAATACCTCCACATAACTATTTGAAGAGTTCTTATCTATACATAATAGATAAGCCCAAACTCAATGTATTTCAAATGTTGCAAAGATTTTACAAATGGAGTAATTATGATGTCCAAACCCCTGTAAATGTGTACGTACATACTTTAACTTTACAAGAAGAACTTGATTGTTACGATTGGATGTCAAATATTTTCAAAAAACTCTGGTTAAAAAATGTGACTAGAATATTAATTACTTTTTGGTCGAATGTAACGCATTCTTTACAATGGTTTACTTACCACGTATTCTTAAGGAAAATATACAATCAAACAGGGATTTACAGTTTGAGCAAAAATATAAGCTTGTCAAATAACAACATGTATGGACACTTGTTAGATATCTGTTTGTACGATTTACCACCTTCTAGCATTACGATGCTTGATAATTATGGAAATTTGGCAATATCAGGCTCCGATGGATATGCAATGAAGACAATTTTAAAAGCCATGAATGCAACTTATCGTTTAACATTTGAAGATGGAAAACACGAAAGTCGCTTGGTTGCATCAAGAAACAACTTAATAAATCACAGATGTGATGTTTTATTTACATCCCAGTACTTTGTTGACAATTCAAAACCAGACTTGCAATATATATACCCACTCCAGGTAGATTCCTGGTGTATAATGGTGCCTAAATCTGGGAAAAGGAGTGATATAAATAGGTTTATAAAACCGTTTGCCAGTGGTGTTTGGTTCACAACAGTAGTTTTTATTGTGTTGATAATAACAGCCTGGTATTGGTTTTTCAAGTTTCATGATGAAGTTCACAGAGCAGATGATGAAAATTCTACATTATTAATTCTATGCGGACTTTTCCTGAATTATTGCATTCATATAAAGTGGCGCGATGTCGGAAACAGTGCTAGATTTTTAATGATGGCAGTGACGATTTATAGTTTCTTTCTAACGAATTCTTATTTGGGTTTATTATTTGGTAGTTTGATGACACCTATTTATAATGAAGATATGCACACATTAAACGACGTTAACAAATCGGGTTTGAGAGTAATAGTTCATGACGAAGAACTTCAGAAATGGGCTGAGCAAGGTTTGAACAACGCCGATTTAAGTCGAATGTTTTTACCAGAATCCAATATGAGTAAAATATTAGAAATGAGGGATAATAATAATATACATTATGCTTATGCAGTGAGATATCGATATGCAAGTTTTTTATTAGCACGAGAAGTACATACAGAACATGGCAGGCCTATTTATCATATAGTCGAAGAATGTTTTCTTCCTACATTTGTCAGCTATGTGGTTACTATTGATTTTCCTTATGCTAGAAGGATTGAATACTATCAGAGTTTGCTAAAACAAGCTGGATTGTATGAACATTGGTCTGTAGTTAGTTTATTCGATTATAATCAAATGACAGCTTCAGCTTCAGCTAAAATCGAAGAGAAAGATCCATTTGATTTACTAAGATTGACGACGGCTCATTTGGAAGCAATTTTTTATGTTTGGATATTTGGCATTTGTATTAGTTGTCTTATGTTCCTTCTAGAACGAACTAGTATACGGAGGAGTTGAAAATAAAATCAGTTCGATGCTCATTAAATATTTTTTTAAGTCCTAATAAAATTGTGCAGTAAAAATAAGAATAAGAAAAAATGCAGTAAGTCTAATGTTTTTGTTATAATTTTTGGTTGTATCACAAGTCTCATAAAAATTAACAAAATTTTAAATTTTTCTAAAATGGTGTTTTTAATGTCACTGATTGCTTTTTGGATTTTGATATTGATTATTAATTTATATTAGTCGATAATAACTAATTTTATTTTGAAAATGACATAAAAATTTGTGAACGTTTGAATAGAATAGTCTATAGTAGTTTCTTATATTAAAATACTCTACACTTTATAATATTTGGGATATACACATTGGGAATTTTATGCAACTTGCCTTACGCCAAAATACATCTAAGAGCTGGTTAATAATCAATGAACGGGTCGATTGTGATTAGTCGTCGTGTCGAGTGAATAGAGATATTTCGTTGTATGTGTACCGGCGTACGTTGTATGCGTCACCGAGCAGCAATATATCGGAATGTCATTAGATTTTAAGTTACATCGTAGTACAAAACTTGATTTAATAAAAAAATACCTGAATCAAAAGAATATTTTACCTTGTCCCCCAAAAATAATTATAATGAAAATATTAAAATAATTGAAACATTTATGCCGTGTACGAAACGTAAGTTTATTAAAATAATTTCTATATTATTCGTAGTTTATATAAATTTTTGAAGTTATTAAAATTTGAAGATAATATGGAGGAACCATAGAACTACCAAAACCTTATATAAACAGAATAATTGAATCATTTATTGAAGTGATTCTCTGAATATGATTGTAATATTGATCCGATAAATTTATATGTGTGTTTGCAAGTGTGTGTGTATGTGTGTGAGTGAATGACATAAGCCAAATAGCTCATAGAATAGTTATGTATTCTGATTGCTATTGAAAATAAAAATTAAAAAAAAAAAAAAAAAAAAAAATATTATTCGCAGTTTATATAAATTTTTGAAGTTATTAAAATAGTAAATATTTTTATAGGTAAAACAGATATTATAGCTGCTCAAAAATTGTATCGCCAGCGAAAAAGTAAAAAAATACAAGCAGTCAATGAATGTATGTTAATTTTAATTACGTGAAGTTTTCAAACACAATTACATGATGAGTTAAATTATGAAAACAATATTTGTTTTGGCGTTGTTTAACATAATCCACTGTGTGAACAAATATTATAGAATTTATTAATCAGCAATTACTTCATTTCTCTAATAAAGGTTCAAGTCCTAAATGCTAATTACAATGACAAACCGATCATGTTATATTTAAAGTATGAGTTCAATTACATTATTGTTTTTAAATATTAGAAATATTTTTAGTGCTATAATAAACAAATCATTTATAATTTATTATTATATAAATATGTATAATGGTTGACATTAAAAATAAATGTGTACGAGTATATCACGAGTTTTACCATATTACTAATAAATATAAAATAAATCATTCAAAATTTTTATATGATTTATTTTTAACTTGAATGCCATCTCATACAATAGCAAAAAAGTTAAACTTTTCGCGCACTCTTTTTTTATTGAATGTATCTTTACTGTTGCGCATATTAACATATGGGCCACACATACAAACTCTACCTATATAACTTATTGATAGAGTTTTCTATTGTTTTATGTCATGTGGCTAAATATTAGCAAATATATCGTTATGTGTTAGTGAAAGCATATAAAATGATTTTCTTACGATAATTGTACCAGAACTCTTATACTACCATACAAACCATATCGCACATTTCCTGGAACTTCATTATTCATAAGCCGATCGCCTTTATACGATACATATTTTTCTTTGACAGTTCCAATAATTTGTAAATGCATAATTAATATTAAAAACATAAGGTAAAGAAACCGGATTTTAGTGCAAATAATTCAGTCAGTTCGGTTGTATTATCGAAGAATGAAGCACATTGTAATACTTCTAATATTTGTGTTCATTTTACCAAGTACATTGTCTAATAATATTTCAGTAAGCCTTCAGGATAACAAAGTTAAGGATTTACTCAAGATAATTGCAGCAATTTCATATACCGAAGAATATACTGAAACTATAATAATTATTGATGTCGATAATGTAAGTCACAAAATAAATTTTGAATTTAATGCAAATTCATTTATCGTATACGACAGCAACTGTAAAAAACCTTTACCTAAATACAACAAATATAAAGGTTCGTTTTTATTCCTTGTTGACCGACCTAGAGCAAATATTTATCGTTATATAAAAAGATTTTACAGATGGAGTAACTATGATATTCAAACTCCTGTCACCATATACATACCATTTGTAAAAGTCGAAGAAGAGTTAAATTACATGAAATGGATCAAAAATATGTTCAAGAAATTGTGGCTTCTGAATCTGACCAGAGTGCTTGTAGTTTTCTGGTCACAAATTACAAACTCCATGCAATGGTTCAATTATCATGTGTTTTTAAAAACTGTGTACAACCAAACAGGAATTTATGATTTAAGATCTAATATGTCTGCAGCTGAGAAAAATTTCTACGAGTTTCCACTTATGGTTTGTTTTTACAATGCAGTTCCTTTCAGCATCATTTTAAATGTTGAAGACAAGGTGTTAATAGCAGGAATAGATGGTTTTATGATGAAAACGATTTTGAAAAAAATCAACGCAACTTATCAAATTGTCAAATTCGATAGCAAGAATGGAGCTGATATTCCTGAATCAAGACAAGCTGTGATTGACCATCGATGTGATGTTTTATTTACTTCTCAATATTTCGTAGACAACTCTAAACCTGATCTCCAATATTTGTATCCAGTGGCAACCGATGAATGGTGCATTATGGTTCGCAAAGCTGGTAAAAAGATTGATATATTCAGGTTTATCAAACCGTTCAAACCACGGTTTTGGATTGCAGTAATTTGTTGTACTAGTTCTGTAATTATAATTTGGAACTGGTATTTAAAACAAGCTAGCATTTTACTCCATAAAGAAGACAAGAAATTGAACTGGTTGCACGTCATAAGTATTTTTCTGAATGTCACGTTATCGATAAAGATGTCAAAATTATCGGCTTCAACAAGAACTATGATTATGTCTGTTGTAATTTATAATATAACGGTTTCATATTCTTACTTGGCGTTATTATTTGGCAGCTTGATAACACCGATATATAATGAAGACATGCACACTTTGGACGATGTTAATAAAACAGGTATTGAAATATATTTTCTTATTATTTTAACAGCAATCAGAATAATTTTAAGTACTATACTATGATTAGTTGTGCTGTATTTTTGATTACATGGCATTCATTAGAAGGCTACATAATTGTTGTTTTCTCTCTTTGTGATATATTTTTTACTTTATATAAGTGTGACTATTTTTGCTTGATATATCCAAGTCTATTTTTTAAGTGAAAACGAATTCGACTACTGCTTGATATCAAGTTGTCGAAATATTGTGGTTGTACTTTCGAAGCTTTTGCCTATGCACTAAACGCCCCTGGTATTAAAAAAATAAATATTAAACTAGTGGTGTATGGTATCGTCCCTTAAGGCAAATTAAAAGAACTTTTCGTACCCTAATGAAATATTCGAGGAATATTAAATGTTTTGAAATAGATTATTATAAATAATGTAACTTTTACTATTCTTATTTTATAAAATGTAAATAATCAAAACTTAATCAATCGGATTTAAAATGAAGAACATGGTGTAATATTTCTAAGTATTATGTAAGTTGAATTGCAAAGTTAAAATTATTTATTTAAAGTATATAAAATATAAATGAGAACTTTTACTATAATTATTAATTAGAAGAAAAAAATCTCACCTTCAAAGCAATCGTTTCGTCAATACCAGCAAAAAGTTTTTTAAATCCTTCAAATCGGATGCTTAGTTCTCAAACTACCTCTTCTCCCCATCAGTACGAATCGAATGTTTTTGGATCATTTAAATCGGTTGATCCGTTCTCTTGAAAACTGACATTTTTAGCACTTTTTGCTTCGCATTTCCAAAATCGCTGGACCTGTCTTCATCAAAAACTAATCAGCATGTCTCGTCTTCAATAGGAATCGAACGGTTTCTTAACCATTCAAATTAAATAATCCGTATGCTCAAAATCATCGACGAAAAATTGTTTCAACCAAAGAGTTTCTGAACATTTTGGCATACCTTAGAAAAATGGATGTGTGTGTATGCAGATGCAATTTTTTTACAAACACTGATCAACCTATTTGAATAATTCAAAAAACATTCGATTTGTATTGATAAGGAGACGTGCTGATTAGTTTTTGGCGCAGGCAGGTCTAGTCGTTCCGAAGATACGGGGCAAAAAGTGCCAAAACCGGTAACACAGTTTTTAAGAGAACGGAGCATCCGATTTCAATAATTCAAAAAACATTTTACTTGTATTGACAAGATAAAAAAACTGATTAAATTTTTTGGAAGGTCCAGCGGTTATAGACTCTCAATAAAAATAAGTTAAAAAAATGTCATTTGGCGGTCAAGAATGTTTATTGGACATATGTACATCAAATTATCAGATATTTTATAGAGATTTTATTAATGTGTACACATTTTGTGTGAATGTTTTGGGTTCAGTACCAAAATTTTCATTTACGGTAGGGAAAATTCCAGCAATTTGTCTTAAGGCACGATGCCATGCACCTCACTAGTTTTAAAATAATTTGCTTGAGTTACTGCTTTTAATTATTATGTCAACTGAAAAGATTGAGACAAGTGTCTTTTTTGAATCGATTAGTGAGGTGCACACAAAATTGCAGCCTAATATTTCAAACATTTTTAAAAATGTGTAAAATTTACATAGATGTAATATTATTGTTTATATGCTGTAGAAATTTTATATTGCTATTTCTTAGAATATAAAGCTTACTGTGTCTCCGTGGTAAAAGCTTTGTCTTGCAAATACAGATTTCTGGTTCTATACCCAATTTGGTCCGCTTTATATCAATCAGTTGTTGATATCAATTTTTATTTAAAATTATAGATTGAGAATATGGTCTGAAGTAAAAATAGCCAATCAAAGGTTTTGCAGAAATATATATTCACATCACTACTTAAAAGAAATCTAATACCATATCATCAGAAAGACGATGGTCAACCCTCAGAAAAACTATGTTAAGAAATATACATCGCATTAGCTTATAGAGTACATTCTCGTAGTTCTGATTGCTAATTCTGATATATGAATTTTTTTTTGATTGGTAGCGGCTTAAAAATCTTTAATTTTTATTTCGCCAGGCATGAAAGTAATGACTCCTGAATCCGAGTTCGACCGGTGGGCCGATATGGGCTTGAACAACAGTGACATTTTGAACAACATGCTAGTAACAGATTCTAACATGTCAAAAATATTACACATGCAAGAAACAATGCAATTAGAATACGGTTACACTGTCACTTATCGACCTGCCAGCTTTCAGGTCAAACTATCAAAATATTATAGAGAAAATCGGCCTGTGTATCACATCGTTGAAGAATGCTTTTTGCCAACTCTGTCCAGCTATGCCATCACAATTGATTTTCCTTTCGGCAGAAGGATAGAAAGATATCAAACACGAATTCTGGAATCTGGAATTCCAGAATATTGGGATGCTATTAGCAAATATGAATATACTAGTGTAGTACCGTTTCACTACGAGAGAGATGATAAATATGATAAAAGTGTTGATGTTATTGCTTTGAATATGTCCCATTTTGGTGGAATTTTTTATGCTTTGGCTATAGGTTTAATTATAAGTTCAATTGTGTTTGCTTTAGAAACTGTGAAAGGGTTCAATATTATACCTAGCTTTTATAAGTCAATGAACACGAAATTTAGATAATAATCAATGATATTTTGACTTATAACTCTTGTCATTATCTTATCATGTAAGGATAATTTCAAGCATTGAAATTATCATCAAATTTTTAATATAACCAGATTCAAATTTTAACTTAACATACAGAATTTTTCAAGACAAAATAGAATTTTAAATACTTTATATGAAATTCTGGTCGAGTGTTGTCTTTAAATATCTTGTTTCAATGAATTAATAGTTGGTGGTATACACCTTATTATTACTTTTATTTCATTCAATAAACTATATTAACAAATAAAAACTTTTGTTTTCTCTGTATTTTTGAATGTTTAAAATAAATTAATAATATTGTAGGAACATATGAATTTGGTCCAAAAAGTGTAACTAATAATGATGACAAAAATAAATCTAACGAAAACTCCAAAACTTATGTATAAGCAATAAATAAATTTCTGTTTAACAAAAAATTGTTTAAATTATTAACAATATTAATAGTTGATTATAAAATGCATGTAAAAATCGCACACATATATCTGGTCGTCTTAGTCGTTACTAATTTCAATTTAATCTGAGATAAAATGTTCTGTACTTATTTGTTACAAATTTGATTGAATTATTGAAATAACACTTCAAATAAAATAGTAACATAACAAATATACTCATAGATAAAGTTATAACGTCTGTTGGTGCTAATAATCTCTATTAACCTCCTTAGTGCCATACATCTTTTCGTAATATATGTAAAAAATGACAAGAATAACCACCCTTTTTTTAATGAAATTTTTGAGTAAAAAAATAATATGTAAATTTTCAAATTTTCCAAAAATCAATGACACTTGAGTCGCTACCTAAAACGATTAGACAAGTATGAGTGAAAAAATTGACACAAGTACGACTTAAGCCGCATGATCTTCGAAGCTTGAAGATAAAACTTTTGACACATCCTAAACAAATTCTACAACATAATTAAAAGCTTGCCCTTAAATTAGTTCTGTGTCACTAAGTTGTGCAGCTTTTCAAGTGTGAACCATTTCTTACTCAACTAAATAGTCTTAATTAACTTAACCAGATGCGTTAATTTATTATTATCAGACAATATATATCAGGGGTACAACTTAGACACTGGTACGGCTTGAGCAAACTTATATAGAGTTGCAATTTGGTAACACCGGAGTAAGTTAAATTCGAGTATATTATAACACCTACCTCAAAGCCAATTCGAAAATATATCTGGAGTCTAGAGCATAGCTCTGTACAGATCAGAAACATGGACTCCAAGAAAGTCCTTAAGGCCAAATCTATCTAAAGAGTTTTAAAATGTGGTGTTGGAGACGAATGGAGAAGATGAAGGGGACAGACCAGATAACAAACGAAGAAGTCCTGAGACAGAAAGAACTCTACTTAGCACGATCTTGAAAAGAAAAGAAAACTGGATTGGACTCATTCTGCAAAAAAAGGCCTCCCACACAACGTAGTCGAAGGTAAAATAAGGCTGAAAGGAATGGGAAGAAGAATGCAGATGGTTGATAACTTATGCGGAGGACTATGAAGCATGGAAGCAGAAGTTTGGAAAGGAAAATACATATAAAATGTATAAAGAAGTGCGATGGGCATAATAGGAATGACAGGGAAGAAAGAGTAAGGAATCCATTAACTTATGGTGGCTTTCACACCATGGACCTGCTTTACTACAGGGCAGACTACCATTTATTATTATTATTATATCATATTATTATTATTTCATATTATTATCTTATATATAAAAATGGAGCTCTCTTTTAAATGTCCAAGTAAAACTCGAAAACGGCTGAATCGATTTGGCCAGTCTTAGTCTTGAAAAATTCGTGCAGATGCCAATTCAGAGAAAGTCCAAAAGGTGAGAAATTGTTTCAAATCCACGTAGGAACTTAACATTTTTAATTTGAAAATTTTTGTAGAAGCGCAATTGAAATAAAACAATGGACGGTGGCCAATATGTGAAATGTCAAACGTTTTTGACAGATGATGTTCAATTACGTTTAATACAATGTTTTACGTGAATATCATTTAATTATGATTAAATTGTAGTTAGTAGTTTTGTTTGTAGTTTTATTTATATACAAAAACGTTAGTAAACGGGCCGCAAGTGTTACAAGAGACTCAAAATATCAACTTTTTTGAAATGTTAATATGAAAATGCATTTTTTGGCATATTTTTCTTTAACACGGTGCTCTGAAAGATCTCATTTGTATAATTGTATACTCATTGGTATTTATAAATCATTTTCTAGGTTATATTATTTTTTATTTATGTTATTTAAATTCAGAACCTAAATTTGGTATCGATCAAATGGACACTTTGTCGAATAACATTTTCCGAGTTATAATTTTCCAGAATTTATCGAAGAATAGATAGTGATATATGAAGGTCCGGGGTTAAAACGGTCCACCAGAGATGTGTTAAAAACCAGTAAAGTTCAACAAAGAATTGAAAAGTAGAGGGAAAAAGATGTATAACCAGCTATAAGCTTGATTTGAAAACGGTAATCTTTGAAATGAGGGAGATAAACGGTAATCTTTGAAAATCCATAATAAAAGTATTTTCTTCCGTTGGTAGTTTTTTAGCATTAGTTAAAAATGTAATTATTTTGTAAAACACCTTTAAAATTATAATAAGGTTTTAAACTTTTTTGCCACCTGCCCGTTTCAAGTTACCCCGCCTAAAGGGTAAAAAGGTCTGAATAACAAATTTTTGATAGACATCAAAAAAGCACATTTCTACAATGATGAAGTAGAAGACAGTTTACTAAACGTAGTCAGATAATTGTTCGTTTGATATGTGTTATTTGTTGTGATATAATTGTTATGGTTTTCACAATATAGTTTATATTTGCTCAAAGTCAAACTGGACCTTTGTGCCTCGCCCTGCTCTACATACATACTTTTTATTAAATTTACTTTAATTCATCGAATGTTACTTGGAACTTTTCAAAAAGCAGGTCAAAGAAGAAATACTTAATTCATTTTAATTGTGTATAAGCTCAGTACTATTATTTACAATTATACACAAAATCCAGAATTCAAAAAGAATCTGAAAAACTTGAGACGTAATCAATAAGTAAAAAAACCAAAAAAGAATTGGATGGATTATACTATGATTTCTATAGAAAGTGTATAAAACTTCCAGTTTGATTGTATTGACAAAATATAGGCAAACAAATGCAGTTTATTGTTTTTATAATACATCATTATATTATATTGCATTAAAACAACACATCCTTATACACTTAAAGTGTTAATATTTTTGATTCTCTAGAAATTCTTTAGAATATACCTTACTTAGCAAAACAACGTTTGCCGGGTCAGCTAGTCTTATACATAAAAATGGAGCTCTCTTTCAAATGTCTAAGTAAAACTCAAAAACGGCTAAACCGATTTGGCCAGTCTTAGTCTTGAAAAATTCGTGCCAATCCAGAGAAAGTCCAAAAGGTGAGATATTATACCAAAATCGCGTAGAAACTTTACATTTTCAATTTGAAAATTTTTGTAGAAGCGTAATTTGAATAAAACAATAGACGGTGGCTATTACGTGAAATGTCAAACGTTCTTGACAGACGGTGTTCAATTACTCTTAATAGGAAGTTCTACGTGAATATTTACGACAATATAAGTCGAAAGAATAAAAAAACTTGAACTGGATTATACCATGTTTTGCTATAGAAAGTATATAAAACTTCCAGTTTGATGGTATTGACAAAATATCTGAATATCTGAATATCTGAGTATCTGAATCTCGGAATATCTGAATATGTAAATATCTGAATATCTGAATATGTGAATATCTGAATATCTGAATATCTGAATATCTGAATATCTAAATATCTGAATATCTGAATATCTGAATATCTGAATATCTGAATATCTGAATATCTGAATATCTGAATATCTGAATATCTGAATATCTGAATATCTGAATATCTGAATATCTGAATATCTGAATATCTGAATATCTGAATATCTGAATATCTGAATATCTGAATATCTGAATATCTGAATATCTGAATATCCGAATATATAAATATCTGAATATCGGAATGTCGGAATAACGGAATATCTGAATATCTGAATATCTGAATATCTGAATATCTGAATATCTGAATATCTGAATATCTGAATATCTGAATATCTGAATATCTGAATATCTGAATATCTGAATATCTGAATATCTGAATATTTGAATATCTGAATGTCGGAATGTCGGAATATCTGAATATCTGAATCTCGGAATATCTGAATATCTGAATATCTGAATATCTGAATATCTGAATATCTGAATATCTGAATATCTGAATATCTGAATATCTGAATATCTGAATATCTGAATATCTGAATATCTGAATATCTGAATATCTGAATATCTGAATATATGAATATATGAATATCTGAATATCTGAATATCGGAATGTCGGAATATCGGAATATAGGAATGTCGGAATATCGGAATATCGGAATATCGGAATATCGGAATATCTGAATATCTGAATATTGGAATATCTGAATCTCGAAATATTTGAATATCTGAATATCTGAATTTCGGAATATCTGAATATCTAAATCTCGGAATATCTGAATATCTGAATATCTGAATATCTGAATATCTGAATATCTGAATATCTGAATATTTGAATATCTGAATATCTGAATATCTGAATATCTAAATATCTGAATATCTGAATATCTGAATAACTGAATATCTGAATAACTGAATATCGGAATATCTGAATATCGGAATATCTGAATATCGGAATATCGGAATATCGTAATATCTGAATATCTGAATATCTGAATATCTGAATATCTGAATCTCGGAATATCTGAATCTCGGAATATCTGAATCTCGGAATATCTGAATCTCGGAATATCTGAATATCTGAATCTCGGAATATCTGAATATCTGAATATTTGAATATCTGAATATCTGAATATCTGAATATCTGAATATCTGAATATCTGAATATCTGAATATCTGAATATCTGAATATCTG